TTAACAAAATTTGCATGGGGATTATATTACTATATTTACTTATACAATGATGTTACTAAATACTACTTTTGTTTATATATCAGTCAAATTTATATAGGAGACTACTAGATGGCGACACGTTTATAGACTCCCTGTCACTCTTACTAATAGTGTAAATAAGGATGACTGGGATTTTATAAGAGATAGCCATAAGAGTAAATAAATTATTTATAGTATTTATTTACTCTTATGGAGATAGTCATCTAAGCGTGACTGGTTGTCTAACTATATTATATATAAACAAGGATACCATACAAGGAGCACGAATTCATACGGGAAAATTGACAAAATTTAACAGTCGAAATTACTTATAGTTTTTACCGCCAGGGTCACTAGTGTAGTCTCCAGGCGAGCTTAGATAGGAAACAACTAGATGGCGTGGCGACTCGTATAAAATCACTATCGCGCTGTCAATATTGATAGTTCTCGATGTTTCGCTTTTTATTTTAAATTTTGTACTAAAATTATACCTATAATATTTGTTCAACACTTTAATAATAATATAATTTGAGTGGTTACACCAGCTGTACATATTTTACATTTACAAATTAATTTTTTCGTCAGTAGTCAGTATCAGTGTTTATTTTTAAGCTGTACTTCTGCTATATCGTTTCTCTTATTCCAGTATGGGAAAATGTTAACAAATTCTAAAGGCTCCAGACCAGACAGAACATGTTTGACAGGAATTGATAGATTATGGCCCTTTTCTTTCGCATAATTACTTGCAGTTTCCTTTGCCAATTGTAACTCAATTTCAAATAACTCTGTACTACTTTCTGAAGTCTTCCATCCTTCCCATAACCAAATTTCTTTGCCGTTGTCCAACAAAAATAGTGCTAGAAAATTTAATGTAATAAAAAATAACTGGTAGAATCCACAGAAATTAATGGTGTAATCTCTAGACAAACATATTTACCTGGTTGATCAGCTGTGTACAGATGAGACTGCAAAAATGGAAACGCAGCTTTATGCCGTTTACTCCTTAATGGATATTCCACCTCGATGGCCAAAAAGTTTCCAGTAATGGAACTGAAATAGAAAAGTCGAGGGCTAAAATCTGCACTTGAGGAGAATCTGACGTAACTACTGGTTTGATCTCCAAGCAGTTTTAAAAATAAATCATCATATCCATCTTTCACTTCCACCGTTCCATAGTTTGCCCAGTGTTCGTTTCTTGTGTTCAATTTTATTTTACTTCCTATCTGTTGATGTTCACTTGGAACTGCCGCTCCGAACCAGTAGTACACCATATTTTCGCTTGTATTAAGTAGCAAAAAAATACCTCTACTCCGTAAACTTTCTTTCGAACAAGGCACTTCATATAAATGGATCTCACTGGGCAATTCACCGCGAACCATGAATAGTCTTTTTAGATTGGGATTGAATTTATCGTGTGTGCCATTAAATACAATTAGACGCTTGGAAAACATGTGGAAAAACAAGGCAGGTTCGCTCCACTGGCAAATTCGTTCTACGGCAGGATTTTTATCTTCTATTTCTGGTGGTAGAGGGGAATGTCCTTTTGAAGCGTTTTTGCCTTTCCAGTAGTAAAATAATGTGTCTTCATGAGTTGTGCCATCTGCAACGTATTCGAACTTCCACTGGAGTATATACGTTTCGGTATCATATAAAATTCCATGATTTGTATCCTCTACTTTTTGTAACTCATCACCAATAATTCTCCAGCAATTTAAAGCCTTGGTACTTTTTATATATGACTGATTTTTGTCGCCACCACCATCACCAATAATACCTCTTCCTACATTGTGAAAGTCAACAAAAAAACATGGATCTTCGTAGAAATTTTTAAGCATTTCTTTTACATTACAAGCGTTCATTTTGCTTCATTGAACTTCTTTATTTTTCTAATCGAATCATTGGATTAACTGGATAAATATAATAAGATAAAACATATCTTAAATAGCTATATTGCTTTTGTTAATTTAAATTAATGACAATTTTTTATTATCACAAATTTGTGAACAAAGATGAATTAAAACTGAAATAAAATATGTCCACATTTATGTGAGAAATGGGTTATGTTGATATGTTTATATTTCTTTCCTGAAATTCACTAATTCAAATTGATATTTTGGTTACTTTTGTTAGGCAACTCAATATACAGTAGGTAAGTAACAAGATTTACTTTTTATAATGCACTAAAAATCATTTCTAGTTGCTATAAGTAATAGTAATAATAAGTTTAGAAGAAAGCAGGAACCATTTCTATGGAATATGAAAAATAATAATTTATTCACAGAGGTGTCAAGACTGTCAAGGGGTCGTGCCCCCAAGACTTTATTTATTTATATAAAATACCTTACATACAGTACTAATTTGGAACACTTTTGTTTCTACATCTATTCAAACAAAAATGCGCTTACACATTCAATTGAACTTTACTAACCCTCGTGGCTACATTTACGAATAATTCAGTGGAGCTGTTACATTTTCTCAACCTTTCCAGTTTTACTGGTAGTAAAACTTGGTGGAAACTGAGGCATTCAACGTATACAGTGCATTTGTTCCTGCATTACTTAGGTATTAACTATCTCTGTGTAAAATTCTCTATAAGCCTAATTTGTTAAACATTTAACAGTTAGGCAGTGTAGTCTGCAATTACCTTCAACTCTTTTATTAGGAATAACATGTCAATTAATAGCACAATTTTTTTGTTATTATTTACTTAAATTTTTATAAATTTTTTAGTCGCTAATTTAAATCTTCAGAAAAACAGATGTCGCGTTCCCAATAAATGTTTTTGAAAATGTATATTAGGTAAATTTATAGTAGCCTTTGAAACCAATCCAGTTACACCGACGAAACAAATGACGATTTCTGTCAAGATCTGAACTGAACATTATCAATCTTGTACACGGCAGACCCTGCATGTATGTATAGTTTGAGTTTATTATTATGTCCTTGGTGTGTTTTTATTAGTGAAATCATTGTGATAATTAAAATGTGTTAGTGTAGAGTGTACAGCGTTCCACAAAAGCCTCTTGGTACTATTCACATTTTATGTCGATCTTTGATCTTTACCATGCCAGAATTTCTTTATTTGCTCTAAAAACGATATCTGTTAACTAACTTCCCTTTACTCGTAATGTTTTGTTATTCGCTGTAGTATTTTCAGTAGTTGTAAGAGGTGATTAGATGCATAACAGTGAAGCGGGTAAGTTTTTATAATTTAAATTTGCATTATTTGCATTAATTAAGTGTAGTCGACGAGTTTGGAGCAAGAACAGTTAAGAAGTCTATTTGTTTGTGTATAAAGTTTAAAATATTGAAAACACTATTTATAATAAGATTAATAGGTCTTATCCATAAGTATGTGGTTAGAAAAGTAACTATAAAAAAAGTAATCAATATAATATTAAAACCGTTGTTTTGAAAAAGATTTTGTAACAGTTTGGTAAAAAAATATAAAATATTTGGTATATATTGGTTTCACTGAAGTAGCAAAGCAAATCAATTATTCGATTAATCCAATTTCATAACTTATCCCGACCGACCGATTTTCCCGTTTGGTATTTTACGCAGTGACGTAATTTCCACATTGCTTGTTCTTAATTAATTTCCCTTTTGCAGCGTATTGGCGTAAAACGAATCCATAATGCACTTACTTATACTAGACGTAATTAAACCTAAAACTATGTGTGAATTTCGGGGAAAATAATAGCATTAGACCACCTGCCGAGAAATTACCAATAATAAATCAATACGGAGGGTGATTCATGTTGCACAGGATACCACCCCGAAAGTGATGAACACCAGCGACCTGCATCACGTTGGAACTATAATAACCCTAACCCAATCTTCCCCTGTCCATATATCCTCTCAAAAAGCAACATCCGCCAGTGCAGTAGGCCAAGGGGTCCAACTTTCACGCAAATAAAATAATTAGGTAGTCAATTAAATAACAGGATGTTTTAATAATAAATATATGTTTTCATGAGTGTGGGTAAGATATAGCCTGTAAATATATGTCGTATCTTAAATGTTATTGCTATTCAACACGTACTGGCGTACATCATTACTTTGTAATACTGGCAAGGAGTGACCTACTAATCCGTAGGTGTTGTGAAAGCATGTCTTGTTTTGGCACGAGATGAAATAATTTTTTTTTTAAAGATTAGTATGTCATTTTTCTTAATTCGTCTATGGTTTGCACTGGAGCCGTATAAACCAAATGTTTGAGGTGACCCCAAAGGAAAAAATCCAACGAATTTAAGTCGGGAGACCTCGGGGGCCAGAGTTAAGTGCCTCCTCGACCTATCCAGCGATTTGGGTAGATATTGTTCAAATATTCACGTGCAGCTAAACTGAAATNTCTTAATTCGTCTATGGTTTGCACTGGAGCCGTATAAACCAAATGTTTGAGGTGACCCCAAAGGAAAAAATCCAACGAATTTAAGTCGGGAGACCTCGGGGGCCAGAGTTAAGTGCCTCCTCGACCTATCCAGCGATTTGGGTAGATATTGTTCAAATATTCACGTGCAGCTAAACTGAAATCGGATGGAGCACCATCGTGCATAAAATACATTTGCAACCTTAATGGCAATGGGATGTCTTCCAAAAGTACGGGCAATTCAGCCTCAAGAAAACGGCGATAAACATCTCCAGTAAGCCTCGGTGGTAAAAAAAATGAGCCTATTAAGTGGTCCCCCACGATTCCGACCCATACATTAAGTGAAAACTGGTGTTGATGACGGCCTTCTAATATTGCGTTTGCGTTCTCGTCAGCCCATACATGATTATTATGGAAGTTCATTATGGCTTTTCTGGAAAAATTCGCCTCATCCGCGAATAGTACCTCTGCTAAAAATTGAGGATTTTCCCCAATTTTTTGTCGTATCCATCGACATAAATTTAATCTTAACAGAAAATCACTCGGTAAAAGTGCCTGAACCCGTTGGATGTGATAAGGGTATAAAAGATTCTTTTTTAAAATCTTGAAAACTGTAGAACGACTGCATTTAAGTTTCTAGCAATCTGTCTGGTACTTGTTGGAGTGTCCTCAATTTCATGAAGTACATCTTCCTCCAATTGTAGGGTTATTGTTGTGCGGGGCCCGTTTCCTGCGGTAAGTTGAAATAGATAAAATAAATCAAATTACGTCAGAAGACGTGTACCGTTTTTATGAACAAACATACCAAATTTCAAAAAATCGGAATTAGGGTTCTCCAGATAATAGTAAAAACCTTGATTTTCTCTAAATTTCAACATCCTGTATCTCCGAAATGAAGCATTTTCGGACATAGGTTTATCTGAACTTTCTTTCTTATTTTTGGTCAAGGAAACTCCCTCTAAATTTTTTCGCAATATTAATGGGACACCCTGTATGTCACCCACACTCGATAGACATACATATAACTAAATTATTTAGACCAGGGTAAAATAATTTTTGAAACCAAAAAAAATTATAGTAGGATGAAACCCATTGGAAAAGAAAGAGAATATAACAGAAATGAAAGGAAAAATAATTTACGGGCGATCTGAGGTCGGGAAGGGGAAGGGGGTGAGTTTTTAAGGGTAAAAAACGGTTTCCCTTGATTTCCGGAAAAACTACAAGTCTTATGGAAAAAAGTTAAATGGCAAAGTTGTAGGTAATAAAAAGATCTACAACTTTTGTATTTACACTTTTTTCACATAACCTCAAAATTTATGTGAAAAATTCAAATAACCAAGTTTTTGGTTTTTTATTTTTCTTTTTAAAAAAAAATTTTTTTTTCACGAAATTTGGTGAAAACTTACCTATTTATGTCCCAAACACGCTGTAATTTTTTTGATTTGAAATATTTATTTTTTCACCTTATTTTTACTTAATATCGAAAAAGCACCCTAATTTTCAATCGAAAATTCTCACGTCAAAATATCTGCTTTTTTAAAAACGTCGGTGGGCTTTTTCTTCGTTGAAATCTCTACTTTCTGATGGTGTAAAAAAAAATATACATTACTATGGTAAGTTTTCTCAGGAAATGCAAAGAAACGAAAGAAGATTCTACAACTTTCTCAAAATATTGTAGATGTCTTATTAAATATTAACTTTATTAACTTATTTGGTTGTTAATTATAATAGTATATTTCGACTTGTAATTTTTTTGTTTATCAATGTAACATGGAATCTTACGTTTTTCGAGTAATTAAAGTGTAAATTTTAATAAATAGCTCAAAATTGTACATAATGATTAGAAAAAAATTTTCGGATTCTAGTTCGTTTCTTTGCATTTCCTGAGAAAACTTACCATAGTAATGTATATATTTTTTTACACCATCAGAAAGTAGAGATTTCAACGAAGAAAAAGCCCACCGACGTTTTTAAAAAAGCAGATATTTTGACGTGAGAATTTTCGATTGAAAATTAGGGTGCTTTTTCGATATTAAGTAAAAATAAGGTGAAAAAATAAATATTTCAAATCAAAAAAATTACAGCGTGTTTGGGACATAAATAGGTAAGTTTTCACCAAATTTCGTGAAAAAAAAAATTTGTTTGTAAAAGATAAAAATAAAAAACCAAAAACTTGGTTATTTGAATTTTTCACATAAATTTTGAGGTTATGTGAAAAAAGTGTAAATACAAAAGTTGTAGATCTTTTTATTACCTACAACTTTGCCATTTAACTTTTTTCCATAAGACTTGTAGTTTTTCCGGAAATCAAGATAAACCGTTTTTTACCCTTAAAAACTCACCCCCTTCCCCTTCCCGACCTCAGATCGCCCGTAAATTATTTTTCTTTTCATTTCTGTTATATTTTCTTCCTTTTCCAATGGATTTCATCCTCCTATAATTTTTTTTCACTTTCTACCATTTTTGAAGGCTTAAGCACTGGTCTAGTTCTATGACATACTGACGAGAAATTAGTGAGTTTGAAACCCGAAAAATTTTTCCTTTGACTGGTTTCAAAATTTTCACGCTCCCAGCTCGCCCCCCTAGGAGTGTCCAGCGCGGTGCCCCTGGCCCTAGGGCACACGTTCTCCGTCTCCGGTTTTAT